TAGCTGAGTGTACTCCTCATTTTCTTAATGATTTCAGTCACCAAAATGGGGCGGGAGAAGATCCAAGTGGATTTAAAAGAGGTTTTAACACATAGTAGAGAACAGATGTAAATTCCTTGCAGTAACCGTTCATCCAGTCCCTGAAATAGATTCCTAAAAATACAGTTGGCCTACATTCTGGTTGCAGAAGTGTAACTTTCCTCCCTGCTGTTAAAAGCCCTACGAAATGTGGAAGGCGCTGAGATTCCCTTCTACTCAGACGAGCTTCCCCGGTGCTCCCTGCCCTAGCAGAGGTGCCCGGGGCTGTAGGCAGGACGGGCAGGCTAGAGGACAATGAGGTCATTCCGGGAGTATTACATTTGTCAAACATTGAAATGAAGGGTGAACTGTCTGCTAATAGGGACTGGTTACAAAGCTGAGATGTCTGTATGGACGGTGAGATGCTGTACAACTGTAAAAACACTGGCATGTACCGGAAATGAAACAAAACCTGCTAGTTGAGGAAAGCAAGGTAACAGGTGTGTGTGTGTGTGTGTGTGTGTGTGTATGATGTCACATTTCTAGTGAAAGATGGTATATGTTCATACATGCTTGTCTGCATAAAAAATTTCTAGATGAATACATGAGATTTTTTTATTTTATAGAAAAAAATAAGACAAAATTTCATAACAATAGTAGGAGATGAACAATAGTTAATATATTGCATATTGTTATCTGCAAAGTAGTTGCTCAGAGCACAAGATATGAGCATAAAAAATTCTGCAAATGATGTTAGCACAAACCTTCCTTCTCAATGAACTAAGAAAGTTTTTAACAAGTGATTCCCTTTGAGAATAGTCTTGGTGGTGGGAAGCTGGATTGGTGGGTACAAAGTAGAAATGTTTTTACTGATATTCAGTAGATAGAGGTAGATATAGCTATGTGTGTATGGATGTATGTGTGACCCATTCACAAAGTTGACTTACGAGCTCAAAAATGAGAAGTAGCAGGACACAGTGGTTAAAAGTGCAGATTCCCCAGCGACTCGAGGCTGTTCCTCATACCAGTCGTGAGACCTTGTTCACGGTTCCTCTATGTGCTTTAGTTTTCTCACCCATGAAGTTAATTCTTTTTTTATATATATTTTTTATTTTAAAGAAAATAGTACAAAAAAAGAACAGTAACAAAATACAAACAACCCAAAGCAAGGACATTAAAAATGATACAGGGTTTCAAACCAAATGATAGAGATTAACAGTGGTTGTTATATTACGTATTGTCATCTTCAATGAAGTTGCTCGGATTACCAGATGTAAGAATAGAAGATTGATCAAATCATTAAAGGGAGTAAGAAAATAATAATTTAAAAGAATATTAGAGACAATAGATAGTATCACTAGGCAGGATTGTAGGAACTCACCAATGGATATTATAAATGAAGTTAATCCTTATAAAGCAGTTCTAGCTACCTGTCATCTGGTAAATTTCCGTTATCACTGCTAGTAATAGGGCTGTTAAAAACTAGTGATTCTCACATGGCATCTTAAGTGTCTAATCTCTTGTACCATGTTTGTTCAAAGCATTAACTGGTGCAGCGGATAGACGCGTGTGAGTTTGGGGCTTGTTATTGTCTCGGGCCTGTGATAAAGAGCTTGGGCTCTGCCGTGCCCAGAGGCAGGTTAAAATCCCTCGCTCTGACACTGTTGATTGCCCGTTCTTTGTGAGGTTTTGTGATTGAGTTAATAGGTTACCTTGGTGCGACAGACACTGTCCTGAAGTTTCGATGGAAGGTACTGTATTCTGAAAGACCAAGGCAAAGGTCATTCATTTTCGTGTTAATGTCCCTGGCCCACTGTACATTCACATGGGTCCGTGCCATGCCAGCTGTCACTGTGGGGTCGGGAGAAGCGCACTCCCGAGTGGGCGGCGAGGGTTTTGTGCACTGGTCTGGGGCTACCCATAAGAGCCAGGGCCACAGTTCATTCCAGAATCGGCCTGTGGGGCCCCGACTTGGGGATGGCGACAGGTCCAGATGGTGCGCCAAGGTGTCACGTAGCAGGTGGCAGTCTGTGGTCGAAGCTGTTTCTCCGCTTGCTGGTTCTGCTCATCTTACGGCTCACCAGGTGTGCACAGCGAGTGGTGAGCTTCAAAGACGGGCAGAGCCGGCCACGCAGCTGCTGTTGGGCCTCAGCTCTGAAGACAGCTTCCCTGCGGGGACGGCTGCTGATACTCTCTCTGCAGACTTGGCATGTGGAATCGCAGGGGCCTGACAGTTAGGGACGAGGGAGGGAGGGCAGGGAGATCGGACCCTAAGAGCCCCACAGGTAACTGCGCTTCAGGAGCTGGCACTGTATGCAGGCAGGCGGTGATGTCCACGGTTCTTTAAGTAGTTCAGAATAGTGGGGAAACGTTACTTGAGTAGGGCTATTCTTTCGGATACTTTAGTTAATCTTCAGTTTTGTAAGATTACCATAGTATGACACTTATTGTTTCTGCGAAGTAGTAGCACACGCCTGCACACTCCGCCACTTGGGAGGCTGAGGTAGGAGCACTGCTTGGGCCTAAGGCTTCAAGGCCAGCCTGGGTGACACAGTGAGACAATGTGTAAAATAATAAATAAATAAAATAAAGTAAATGACATTTTTTGCGGAATGTAGTACTCTTCCTTCTATACGTATTTTCCCCCACTCCCCAAAAATAATAAACTAGGAGGTTTTGTATTCAGAACCTTTTTACTTACTGAGTATATTATTTTGTGTTAGCATAAGGTAGGAGGTATACTACAAATCTGTTGGAATTTTAGCAAAAACTTTGCTCAGGTTTCTTACAGTAGCTGTAGGTGGGCCTTTTACCATAAAGACAATGTTTAAAAGTAATTTTTAAATGTGTATCATATTTCCTAAATCACACAAAAGGGTAAGAATCCTGATGTCTTGTGGTGTGGCTGAGCTCAGACACTGTACACTCAAAGGTGCTTTTAACTTGGAGAGGTCCAGGGTGGGGAGAGCCCTCCCCACCCCAGGCAGTGCGGGCCAGGCTGGAGTTGAGGTTTGGCCAGATCTGAGTGGCTTCGCTCCTCCTCACTCTGGGCCTCGTGCTCCTCACTGTGTCATGTGAGTGCCAGTGTCACCGGTCAGCTGTGAGATGTCACCGGAGCACCAGTGTGCCCTCCCGGGTCTCAGGTGGGAGATGGGAGACCCAGGAAGCCTCAGAGATTTGGTACAACACAGCTGACAGGATGGGGAAGATACTTTTCAAATGCTTGTGGGATGCCTCACAAGTGAAATCTTTTGAACCTCCTTTTTATCAGTAATGTCTTTTAGTTTTTTAGAATAGGTTTGAAAGTCATTAAAGTTGAATAGATAAAAAGGACACTACTGTCACCATTTAAAAAAATTCCAGTGTGAAAAAATCTAGCGGCTTACCACTTCCCCTAACACTCACGGGGGTCGCCTGAGCATTTGAAGCTGCAGACAGAGCCCTGTGTTCCAAAATGTTTTCTTTTATTCTCCAAGCCTCATGCGTCAGTGCCTCCACAAGTTGCTCCTGAACTGGCCTTGTGCCCTTCTCTGGCTCCTCCCCTGCTTGCTTCTTCCAAGGCTGCTTGTCAGGAGAAAAGTACCTGCTCCCTGCGCCTTCCCGGCGACTTCTGTTTGATTTGAAAAGTGTTGGTGGTAAAGTCATAGTGCTTATCAGCAGGGATTTAAAAAATACATATGTATGTTATATATAGCTATAGATATAGATATATAGAGATATATTATATCTCTGTACATAGATAAAATATAGTATCTATCTTTCTCTCTGTCTCTAGAGAGAGAGAACACACGGGTTTTGTTTCCTCTGGCCGTAATAGTGAAAACTATTCAGTTTTCCAAAGTTCAAGAAGGTGCAGTTTCTGTACTCCATAGTATAGTCAAAATGTTTTTTGCAAACATGTTTAAGCCTGTGTATGGACTGTTCACTTAAATGTACATTTTCCAGTGTTATAAAACCAGCTTTGCTAGTACACGTCACTCCAGCTTTTTTGCTAAAAGGAGGGAGCATGAAGGATTAAGGCAGATTAGAGCATTGGGATAATATCTGACTACTTCCGTGTGCTCAGAAATAAAATTCCTCCAAATCTGGGTGTTGCCATGGTGATGTTAGCCGACATGAGTTTGGGTCGGTGTGAGGCTCAGGTGGCAGCGGGGGCGATGGAGGAGTCACTGCTTTCTGAATCTGACGTAACCCGGGTGCGCAGGGGTTTCTCTGGTGACACAGCAGGGCCGGTCAGGACTCGATGCAGATAGTGTCTGGGGAGAACGTCTGTCTCCTTCGTGTGGTAGACCGGGCTGTGCCGAGGAAGCAGGGGGCTGTGCTGCACACGGTACCATTCTGGAATGCAGCGAGGAGCAAAGCCGCATCGTCAGGGCTGCCGCTCTCCAAGGCCTGGCTCCCAGGGCGGTGTGTGGTGTGTGGGTGCAGTAACCCAGAGGCGCTTAGCCATTTCCTCGGCGCTGCTGCTCTCTGGGGAGCTCCGGCCTCACGCGGAGCGCTTGAGCCCCTGGGTGAGACGCCCACTACTTGAAAACAGGGCTGGTTCTCACTGACGCTGGGAACAAGTGCTCTGGACTCTCAAGCTGAAAGGCAGAACTGTTTTTATTTATAACAACACATTTTCAGCATTCTAAAGTAGAGAAGCTGATGCTCAGCCTCTGGCCTGCTCTAGGGAGTGGTTGTCTCTTAATGGCTAGTGAGTTATCTTCACTTAGAAAATGTGTTGGGTATTTGAGGGGGTGTCTCGTAGTCACAACACACTAAACTTTCATTGCTTTTATTACTGCCTTAACACTAGAAGTTGGGAGGTAGAGATGAAGTTGGCGTGATGAAGGTGGATGAGGACGCGGTGGTTAGCTCCCCCTGGGAGGTGACTTGCGGGCTTTCACGAAGAGTGGCTGTTTTGAGTGTGTATACAGTGGGGGGAAGTAGGAAGAATCTCAGGAATTTTCCTTATTCTTTTTTCTTCTGTTTGTTTCTAGTCTTTATAACCTGGCTTCACTGGAACTAAGAGAGAACCTTCTTACGTATCTGCCTGAGTGAGTCTTTAAGAGTTTTAAAAATGTCCTTTGGACAGTTGGGGAGGCGCCAGCCTTCCCATAATAGTCCTTCCTGTGCTGTATTTATTGCCGTAGAAAATTCAAAAGGATGAATCCTCCTTTTGAAAACTAGTCTAAGTGAGGAATACTGCATTGCTCAGCGTGTCTAAGTCTTCTAAGCATTTGTTTTGTTTTTTAAATAGCTCTCTTACCCAGCTGCGGAGACTAGAAGAACTTGATTTAGGAAACAATGAAATATACAATTTGGTAAGTCTGGGTCGAAGAGAGACTTGAATATATCTTTGTCCTTAGTTTATGATCCTGGTGTATTTTTGGAGTTCTCTGGGTTTGCTTATAAAGACAGTATTTCTGAAGACACAGCTTTGGAACCCTGGAGTACAGGCTTCTGTTCCCAGAGGTCAGGAGTTAGGATTTGGGTGTGGAGGGTGAGGACTAGAGGTCTGAGTGTAAGTGGAAGCTGCTAGCATTCTTGGGGAAAGTTGGGGGCACTGTAAGAAAGGGGGTCTTGATCTTAAAGAAATAGCAAGCATCCATTATGGAACCCAATTATTCTATGATGATGACTTAGGATTCCATTTTTTCTTAATGGAAGACTGAGAACTGGATCTTTGTGACCACAGCGTTGTTTTTACTAATTTGTTTTAGCCAGAATCAATCGGAGCTCTCTTACATCTAAAAGACCTCTGGTTGGACGGAAATCAGCTATCAGAATTACCTCAGGTAAGTGCAAGTTTTACAGTCTCTCCCCTAAAACAGAGCAGCAATAAACCTTGTGTGCTATCTGCTTCTGCATGGAGTTTGTAAAAGAAGGATGTCAGAAGCCAAAAACATTAATGGAAAAAGCACATTTGGAAAAATATATTGAGTTTTCATCATTCTGCATTGCTACAGGGAAATTGAAAACCTCAACCCACCATTTCTAAAGATAGTAAATATATCTTTTAGCTTGTGAAGTCTATACTTTATTGCTGCCCAAATAACTTAACTTCAAGCCCAGCAGATTTATAGAGTACCCTGCAAATCAGGACCTGTGATTAAGGCAGTACACATTTCTGCTACTCTTTGTGATGTGTTAAATGCTGTGGGATAATTTTGACTGTTGTTTGCCCTGTAGTATTTGTTGTAAAAGCAATATTAAAGCTTTACTTCATATTTTTTCCAAATATAGCTGGTATGTCGTGGTGTTCTTGTTTTTCCCGCTGGTGCCAAGTATGAGAGCCGTGTTGCAGACACGGCGGGGCCTGGGACAGACTCCTGAGCTCTCAGCCAGCTCAGCTCCTGAGTAGGGCCCAGCACGCAGGCCACTTTCTGACCGAGCCCGGAAGATCGAAACCCATCCCCCGAAGTGTAGCGGGCATCTCTGCTCTCCAGCTGTTACTGCATTTTGCTCGTTGGTGTATGTGGCAGCCAGCTCTTTACAGCGAGAACATACATGTCATGATGTAGCTGCTTGCATTTTAAAGTAGTTCAGGTGCTGCCCTGCTTGGCTGTGCCCGGTCGGAAGGGGCCGTGTGCCTCGGGCAGGGAATGCAGCTTGAGTGAAAGGAAGCACTCCAGTAAGCGTTCAGTGTGGTCCCGCAGCACTGAAGTGAGTGTGATGTCACCCGTGACGGGAGGCACTCAGAGGCTAAGTCTGTTTCTGAGATCTTGGGGCCGTCGGGAAAGGGAGCTGGATCAGCAGCTGTCGTGGGCAGGGTTTGGCCACTGTGCGTAGTTCTGAAGGAAATATATGGGAAAGCCTGCCTGAGGAAGGCTGGTTCCTTTGGAGCCAAAGGGTGGGCCAGGTGCCGCAGAGGTATCAGGAGAATGGTAAGGCATCAGCTACGGGACAGGCCAGGGCCAGAGGGTGTGTATGTGCCAGCGCATTTACGCGGCTCATGTTATAAATGATTATTTAAAAATCTCATTTGGCCCCATATTATAAACTTGTATTAAACCAGGACTAAAGATACCTTAAATCCCAATCAAAATTATTTCCCTGTCTTCAGTGGTGATGGGAAGAAAGGGATACAAATACAGTGTTAAGAAGAATTGGTGAAAAGTGGAACAATTTCAGGGGAGTGGCCTGACGCTAGTAGAAATGTAGCTTGGTTTTCTGTAGACGGGACGTAGGAGTAAGGTGATGGAGCGTATAGTTGCGTGGGAAATCTGGAAGGAGTGACTGGGACCGAGTGAGATGCCAGTGGCAGAAGTGGTACTTCCATAGCCCCGGGGAGGTCTGGTGTCTTCTGAGTCGAGGGGTGGTATGATGTACGACCAGGCTGTGGCTGTTCCCAGGGAGGCCGGGGAGAAGCGATGTGGAAAGGAAGAGCCAGAACCAGCTTCCGGGAGGCAGAGTAACAGTCGGGGGAAGAGGGCAGTGAGAGGAATTTGATACAGGGCAGTGGGAAAGCAGGAGAGGGAGAAAGTCGCGGTTGGGAGTGGGAGACAGGTACATCTCCGGTGGAACGGCAGACTTGCCAAAGAGCTTTGCCGGTTCCGAGAAGACTTCCTGTCAAACCATGTGCATCTCTTTTCTGTTGATGTTGAAGATAGCAGTGTGTGTCCTGGCTTTGCTGGGGAGCAGTTGCTTTGGTGTTTATGTTAAGTGGGTCGTTTCTCATCAGAGAAAATCCCAGGCCACCCTGAGCTGTAAGCTGCTTACGAGTGATCGATTCTGACGTGGAGACTTGGGTTCTGGTGTCATTATTATTTTCCTCTAAGTGTGTGGCTTTGTCCTCCTGTGTTCTCTCTCAGTGCCAGTCTCCTTGTGTATCCTGTGAGAGTGGCTCCTTGCCTGTCTGAGGTGGCCCGGGTAGTGTCCCTTCCCGCTCGGAGTCTGCGATTTGCACAGCTTCTTACTTTCCTTGGAAGGGAACCAGGAGTTTCCCCGCCTTCACAGTTAAAGATGCATTGCTTGGGCTTTGGGGTTTGATTCTGAAAAGGTGTGGGTAGCATGTTCCTCTGTACTGTGACCCGTGTAAGCCTGACTTGCTCTTTTTTTTTCTCTTGATACAGGAAATAGGAAATCTGAATAACCTGCTGTGCTTAGATGTCTCTGAAAATAAGTTGGAAAGACTTCCTGAAGAAATCAGTGGCCTGACTTCATTAACAGATTTAGTAATTTCCCAGAACTTGCTGGAAACAATTCCAGATGGCATCGGTGAGTACTAGGAGGGACAAACTTCTACAGGGCTGCCTGGTGTGGTCTCGAGCCCTTGAGCTCTCGCTGGCCTTCTGGTCTCTGTTCTTAGGTGTTGGGAATATTGCTTCTGAAAGTCTTGTTATTGTTGTTATTGGTTGGTTTTTTCCCCTACAGATCGAACTCCCGGGCTTGGCCCAGAGGTATACCCGCTCTTCTTCTTGTTTTTATTTTGAGTGTTGCTAAGTTGCCTAGATGGAAATTAAACTTTCAGTTCTCCTGCCCCTGCCTCCCCGAGTGCTGGCATTACAGAGGCACACCGCCACACCTGGCTTGTGGCGTGTTTTTAAAGGAGGAGAGCAAAGAACAGCACAGTTCGGGTTTCTCTTTATGCGAGTGGTTTCAGCATCCTGATTTGTTAGCAGTTACAAGTATTGTTACCTTTAAGTATCGCCGCATCCATCTGCTTTATTCACATCTTGTCCCAATGACTTCAGCGTGGATTAGCCCAAATAATGGGAATGGTTAAAGCGTATGAATGATCACTGAGACATTTCCAATTCCGCATCCCAGATCCTTTATGAGAAAAGAGCATATGACCTTGTGTGACCTAGGGAAGGGGCTCCTAAAAGAGGAATGGCTTCACTGAGGTCTTTTCTGATACAGTGAGGACCGTCTTAACCATACCATGCAATTTTCTGTTAAAATAATCAGTCCACACATTTCTTTTTCTAGAAAGGAACTCAGTCCAGTGTGAGAAACTGAACATAAACAAGAAATGCAGAGATTGTTTCAGTAGGCCACAACCCCTTAGCACTTACAGGAAACGATATTTGACCATCGATTTGTCACAGGATTGTGCTTTTAACTTTCACTCAAAACATCAAAGGAGTCTGTGAAAGATTTATAGTAGTTGGAGAAGCGGTGTGACCTGGGCCAGCTTCCTGTCTGGTAAGACAGAATGGAAGCGGTAACTGCTAATCACAGCGGTAACTGCTAATCACAGTATGGTGGGAATGCAGATGTCCCACTGGTGTTCATCAAAGCTGGTTGGACAGTGGACAGGGATTTTGACTCTGTTTAGAAATGTTCGCCAAGAATCATACATGGCATCTGAAAGCGACGGTAGAAACCGCGTGTTTGATACCTGGGAGAGGAAGAGGTAGCAAACGGGAGCTGGCTGACTTCATGTGTTTGTCTGTAGACTTATTACATCTTCTGGTTCAAGTGGGGAAAATGGAAGGATTGTGTTATCTCGGTCTCATTTAAGGAGGAGGTTTGAAAAACAAAGGAATTGGCGACAAGTTTGTGTGGGCTGCTCAGTGAAGCCATGCGTGCCCAGTCACTCGAGGATGTGCTCATGGGGGAGTGCGGAGCTTGGGTGAGGAGCCTCCCCTGTGAGGGCCGGGTGTGCCCAGCAGAGGCTTCTGTCTCCTGGTAGCGATGGTGGGTGGAATCCTTCCGGGACTATTTTAGTCGATGGTTGATGCTGCTAAACAAAGAGTTTAAGAATCGCTGAGTTCTCTTACCTTGCCCTGTAGCTACACACCCAGTGAGATACCCCTTTCATCGTGTCCCATCGTCCAGGGCTGTGTCTCTTCGGCCCCTGAGCGTGAGCCCTGAGGCAAGTCTTCCTACCGCTTCTCAGGTGGTCTGCCTTGTTCTGCAGCCTCCCCTGGAGGGATCCTGCCCCTTCCCGAGTCACTGTCACCAGAGGTGATTTGTGAACCACACCTGGTGTTTCCGCATGGGGCATGGGTCGTGCAGGGAAGGGGCGGTCTTCCTGTACTTCAGAGCTCCAGCTGTGAGGGTGCGGCAGCAGCTCCTGCCCGTAAGATGCGCACAGGGCCAGCTGTCTGTTCTTGCCATTTTCTGGCTTTGACATGGTATTTGTAGGTAGTACTATTTAAAATGACTTGTTTCTAATTGCTGACTTTTTGATGTTCTGAAGAAATTATTTTAATTCTCAACCTTTTGTACTCAGATGAAAGCGGTGTAACACAGCGGGAAAAGCTGGGTGGGGGAAAATAAGCAATGGTTCACAGCAGAGCAAGAGCAGCAGATGGGAGATACCAAGTGGTGAGGAGGAAGACAATTGGAACTAATGAGCTGAAATACTGTCTTTGCAGGAAAATTGAAGAAGCTGTCGATCTTGAAGGTGGACCAGAACAGACTCACGCAGTTGCCCGAAGCCATCGGGGAGTGTGAGAGCCTCACAGAGCTGGTTCTTACGGAGAACCGGCTCCTGGTGAGTGCGGTGTGCACTCCGCGGGGGGACTTCCTGGGCTGCGTTCTCCTCCTGCCCTGAGTGGACACAGACTGGTTAAGCGCGTCAAGCCAGCATCTTCAGCATACTCCTTACAGTACAGGGACTCGGCAGACCCCTCCCAGAGGCCCCTGCAGGCTGTGGCTGGAAGCCGCAGTGCCTGGACGCGCTCGTGGCTCTGCCGGTGTCCTGAGCCGCCCCCAGAAGCAGGATCCTTTTGTTCTCTCCCAAGTCCTGTGGGCACAGGAGAAGAGCAAGAGAAGAAAGATGGGGGCTGGGGCTGGGGTGCAGGAGGCCAGTGAGCTTCTGCCAAGGCCACTGCCCCTCCGTGCTGGACACAGAGTGGGCGCAGCGGCTGCCGGGGTGCCCTCTGCAGCACGGAGAGGGCCGGTGCCCGCACCCGCTGGGTGGCTCAGCCGGGTGGTTGCAGACCCGGTCTGTCTGCTCGCCGCCGGCGCCCCTGCTTCCCCTGTCCCCTGTGGTCACTTCGCCCCTTTCCCTCTGCGGTTGTCTGTGGCTGCCGTCTTTTTATCGGGGTGCCTTCCCAGGCGCGCTCCCCCTTTGAAGAGGAAATACTCTGTTTTCTCCTCGCTCTCCCCTCTGCTCCCCGTTTTCATTGTGTTGCTATTCTTTGTGCCCTGCCTTTCCCCCTCTTTCTCCCTGAGCAGGGTGAGTCGTGCTCTGTTGGTGAAAAGAGCAAATGAAGACAGCGGGAGAGGGATGGGAGCTCAGACTTGGTAGTTGCTCAGATAGTCCTGCGCTGGGGCGGCAGAGGGGCCCACGAACACGAGCAGGAACCAGAAGGACGCTGCTCGCCCCGCCCCCTGCAGGCTGCCTGCTTCCTGTGGGCCCCGCTTCCCACGCCAGGCCAGCTCGCCTTTCCTTTGCCCCCCACACCCACCTCTGCCCCGGCCTCTTAGCACCAGCCCCTGGTGCTGGCTCCCTGCCTCTGCAGTCCCTGAGGCCACCACCCCAGGGTGCTCTTGAAGTGGCGGTCGGAGGCGAAGAACATGCATTTCTTCTTGACCAGGTGCGTCCTGGTTCCTAGGCTCTGCCTCTGACTTCAAGTCTTTCAAGCATAGACTCTTGTTATCGAGGAGAATTCGGAGTGTATAACTCTGTTTTCCCCAGGTGATCATTACAAATAGCTGGTCTTCAGGAAGAACTTTGCTTCTCCTGCTGGATTTTCTTCAAGTCTTTGAAGATATCTCTTTTGCTGGGAACCATATTAAAAATATGTGATGAATTAATAATATCAACATTATTTTAACAGACGTTACCTAAGAGCGTTGGAAAACTTAAGAAGCTGAGCAACTTGAATGCAGACAGAAATAAATTAGTGTCTTTACCAAAAGAGGTATGTGCTCTTAGAAAAACAATCACATGATAATAACTACAAAGAGTTAATGACATGGGATCAACAATGCCAAAGGTATTTGTAAGGTTTAAAAGGCTTACATTTCGAGGTGTGAGTATAACGCTAGGTAGAGAAACTATATCAAAGGACGGCCATGAGGAACATGATGAGTTGGGAAAGGACAGTTACCGGATTTTAAGTGGAGAAAGAGATGGCTTAACACCTGAGGCTTGCTGTACAGAGAACGGTGACACTATCAGCAGAAATGGGTAATTTGGAAGTTTGGCAGAGGAAGTGGAAGACTTTAGGTTTGACTGTTGAATTTAAAGTGAAATGAAACTCTGTCCCCTAAACCACTGGGGTTATGAAAACGGACCTTGACCAAGCCTGGTCTCTGGGCAGAGATTTTCCCGGGGGGGCTTCTGTCTTGGACGAGAGTGAGTGAGCGCCTCACAGAGGCTCCCTGGAGGCTGGGCCAGGCTCACTGTCACCCGAGGAGGCAGTGACTGTCCTTTGTAGAGAGTGGCTTCGGGCCTGGGAGGGATCTGCCTTCTATCAAGGAGGTGGAGGTGCTGAGGATGTGGAGGAGATCCAGCTGGTGCGTTTGTGAAGAAGGTTTACCTGACCCTGGGAACTAGAAGGCTTGTATCTTACTAGCACTGTAGCCTAGAACGAAGTTTCGGCCCCTTGTCCCTGCCCATCAAGTGAGTGCCTGGTGGGACGCCCCTGCCAGTCCTCAGACACAAAGGTTATTTCTTCGTATGGTGCCATCCCTGGTCAGGCGCGGGTTTCTTCCTGTTTCTCTTTTCGGCCCTTTCTAGCATCTGTCCTGCGGTGGTTGCAGAGCTTCCCTCCAACCAGCTGGAACTTGAGGGCTGTTCTTCTCCCGGGGCACCCATGTTTGGCCCGGCTTCCTCGCGCCGTTTCTTGCCTTGGTGTCTGCCCACAGTGCCCCACCTCTGCTGGGGGAGGAGGCCGGCATTCCTGAATGGAAGCAGGGCGCACTGCTCACAAATGTGGCACGTTGTACTCCGATACGTCTTTAATACAAGCACCAGCATCTGAGTAAAACTGCCTGCGGCAGAAGAACATCTCAGCGAAGTTGAGACACAAGGAGATTCCCCTAATCAAAACATTTTGGTTCCAGTCTCTAAGCGATAAACCAAGCACAGCTGATACTCCGAGCGTTAATTTTGCTCTTGCAAAGCAGCAGCTGTAGACAGGGAATGCCTGAGCTTGTGACACACACGCAGACGTGGAAAGATGAACTGCTTTCTCAGAGCCCGCGTGGTACCGGTGTGTGCAGGGCATGATGAAATGTGCTCATTCCCCCGATCCTGAGAGGAGCTCTCGCGGTCAGGAGTTTCCTCGTTTCACAGGCCAGTGAGTGTTTCAGGGTTCAGCGCAGAGAGTCGGTAGAACCAGGCTGCAGAGCTGAGCCCTGCCGTTGGCAGCAGAAATAGGCAACTCAGGTGGCTCAGCCCAGCCTTCGGTCTGTCTGACCCCGAGACAGGGCGAGGCCTTGATTCAATAAGGAAAGGTCAAATTGCCTTAGGTTTGGGTGTTTTAGAAAGTTAAGAGAGTTTAGGAATATTTTTAAGGCAGATGCTAAGGCGGGCGCCTGCGAGTGTAATGTTCATTTCCTGTGAGTTTCACCACGGCCCAGCCTCTCTGCACCTCCCTTGGACTCTTCCTAGGCACACATTCTAGAGAAGAGCTTCAGAAACCGTGGCTCAGAAACTGTCACCAGCATCTCAGCACGGGGCCTCCTTCCGTTTGAAATGAACAGAACTCACACCCAGTGTTTCGGATTAGAGGGTTATACACAGTGTGTCACGTGTCAGTTTAAATTTACTAGCACTACTTTCCATGAAGAGAAAAGTGAAGACAGTGTGAGAATATTTCTAGTTTTAAAGCATTTTAGCTACCACATTTTGTCCATTTTCTGGGAAACTGAGATTAGTACTCTGGCATCTAGAGTTTTACAAAGTTTGTGGTTTTTTTATAAAGTCTGTGTGTTTTTGTTCAGCCCCCTCGTAAAGCAGAGAATGCTGTCTTTCCTGGCACACCTTGCGTTCTCCTCACATGTAGCTCCCAGGGTAGGAAGCACCCTGAGCCCAGCTCCAGCTCTGCCAGCGTCCCAGGCTGGCCCAGCAGAGATGGTTTGAGTGCCTGGGCCTGACTCCAAGCCTAGCAGGCAGGCCGCTGTGTGCCTCCTGGCCTCACATCGTGTCGTGAGGCCTGGGTTGGCGTGGTCCTATGAGGAGTCTGCAGGAGCATCTTGGGCCCCGTGATGTGTGTGTGTGCGCGTGCACGTGAGTGTGAGTGCGTGTGCATGCACCATGTGCTGCTTCTGACCTCGTGCTTGATACCATTTGGTCAAGTCTTGTGTTTTGTTAGTTGTGTTCTTTTCTTTCCAAAATGTATTCCTTTCCCCTGAACAGTTAAGCTGCATACAGGGCATATCTAAGCTGAGATTCTGACTGATTCAATTTACATGCCAAAAATCCATAGTTGCATCAGTTGCTGTTGGCTTGGTATGTGATGCGGCTTGTTTTGTCTCTCTGTTTTTAAACCTAGAGCTGTATATTGTCGGTTTCAGGGCACAGCCCCCTAGTCTGCCGCAGCATTTATCTGCATTTGTTTTTCCCAAATAATCTGGGGGAAAATTATTTTAGTATGTGGGTCCCAATAATAGATTGTGTTTGTGCTTTGTGATGTTATTTGTAATAAACATTTGTAAATCAATGAATGTTTCTTGTTTTCTTAATTGTTAGCTGCTTGGAAATTTAGAAAAGTCAGGTAAACTTGTTATCTTGTAAGTATTGTTCAGACTGCAGTTGCATCTTAACTTTTTTATTTTGCTTCTTACGTGCATGAAGATTCAAAGTGGCTGACACCTTTATGTGTTCTTCATTGTAAAAATATTGGACATTTCCTCTAAAATTTTTTTTAATTACTGCATGGCCTGAAATCTTACATTGTCATATGTTTTCAGATTTATTCAGATTATTTTCTCTCAAGAGAATGGTTTTCTGTGAATTATATTTTAAGTTACTGAGAAGTCCTGAAAGGCATCACTTGGCACCTCGTCTGTCTTCACTCCGTGTGGCTTGTCGGCACGGTTCTGTCTCTAGCAGACTCGCTAGATTTGCTTTATTTGCTACATGTGGCATGCTTCTGAATTCTCAAGCCACTTACGTGCACTTTTTATTTCTCATCTTGTTGCTTCAGTATACGCTTCTGGGAAAGGGAGATCCCCCCCAAAGCTCAGCTAGTTGGTGCAAGAAAGTTAGGAGGAAGGACTGGGTGATAGTACGACTTACGAAAAGACAGCGAGGTGGTATGTGTGTGGTCGTGGGTATGATGAAGGAAGGCAGTAACTGCATAACATTCCTTAGCTATATCTTCCTTTTACACAACCTGGACCATGAAGAACTTCTGGCTGGAAGAGACTGAGCGTATGTCTCTGCTTACAGTCCTTTTTGTGTCTCTGCGTCGAGCCAAAATGAAAGTGACACCAGCTGCGTCACACCTGTTCAGTCAGATGAGACGAGCTGGCATTTGGAGAGCAGTCATTTGAGCCGTTGGTAATCAGACAAGCTGTGTATATTTTTGTAAGTTTTCGTTCTAAAGTGAGTTCTTGATAGAAGAGATGGTATGAAGTCTAGTAACATTAGAATAAAATACAGTTGATCATCACACTTAAAGATGGAGAAGTCATTCCTAAGCTTGAAGAGGAAACACATACTAAAAAGAACTGCCAATGGGTTTGTCTGCCTGAAAGATTTATGATCTCCACGAAGGTAAAGATAGTCTGTGGGCAGAAGAGAGATCTTTTCTTAACTCCACTAGAAATTTCTTCTCATTGTGCAAGTAGACAAAACTGAAACAAACAGCAGTCTCAAGAGAAAAAAGTGTCCCTTCCTGTGCAGCGTTGTTGGCATTGTCAGTGTTCACAAAAATATAAAAACACTTTAACCCAGGCTGTAATACTGCATATTGGCACATATCCACGGAAGCACATAGATGTCACTTATTAGGGGTTCTCTGGGAAGGAATGTGATAACATTATTTAAAGCTTTAAAAATATACCTAGCCCTTTTGCAGTTCTACTTCTAGGAACTTACCCTGAGAACATATCTCTGGGCACACACTAAAAATCCCACGTAGGATTGTTTCTCACATTTTATATAGGGTCAGCTGAGTGTTCCAGGCCCTGTAGCCAGCATGTACGAAGCCAGGGAACACGGGCAGGCATGTGCCACCTGTGTGCCCAGCAGCTGACGTGTGCACGGCTCTGTATCAAAGGCGCGTGCACTTATTCTTGTCTAATTTTCACAAGAGTTCTATGAGATGTTTGTAAGTTGTTCCCAATATCCAGCTATTTCTGAACTTAGTAACTTGTCCAGGATCGCACAGCAGAGCAGCAGCAGAACTAACCAGCAACATCACACGTGCATCTCGTTAAGTAATCTGCGGTGACTGTGAAGGGTGCATCGCGGTAGGAACCTTTGTGGGACCAGAGCGAAACGAGGAAATGTTGTTGACAGCATGTGTGCTGACGGTCAGCGCTGGCCCCGGCTTTGCTAGCGTGCGCACGTGTGTACACTTACCAGCACTTGGCCGTCATCTCAGGACGTTAATGCTGATTATCTCTATGTGGTAGGTTGAGTTACCCTCCTTCCATTGTGCTTTCCTGTGTATGTGTGGTTTTTATTTTCCAACTGGCGTAAGTTACCTCATAATAATCAGAGAAGAGAATACCATGTAGCTATTAGTGGATATTTTGATGTCAGTGGCCCAGTAACTCAAGGAATCTCAAAACCACACGATTTCAAAAATATTTATGAAGTAGGGAACATTTGGGTAATATGCCACAGATGATGATGGGATTCTAATATTATACATATTATTTCTCTCCAACTTGTTTTTTGGCTTTTTGTAAGTAGATTTTGCTTTTTGTAAGTACTCATTTTTTGCCATTGACCTGTGGGTTCGGATCTGTTACAAATAGTGAGACGAAGATACTGAGAACAAATGAGAAGTCTTTTACACGTAGGGCAGGCATTTACAGTGTGAAGAGCAGCAAAGGTGACCCTGTGGGCCTCCTCTTTGGGTCGCTGGATCTGATTAGCCCCTTTCTCTGCGGTGTAGGAAGCACAGGCGGTGAAGTCTCAGTGAGAGTGATCTGCACGGAGTTTGCTTCATGGCCTGCAGATGCCACCTCCTTGAGCTGGATTAGCTCAGTGTCGATAGTTAAACACAATATCATTCTTCATTAACAGAGACACAAAATAGCTAACCAAAAATTCTCAGCTGCATCCTGTAATTCTCAGGGAATCCAAGTCTAACCCCTCGTTTTCTGGGAAGGTACTATTATGTGGTTTAAAGGAAGCTTAAAAATATCAACTTCCTACATAACTGGTAATAAGTTATTTAAACAGCTCTGCTTCCCAGAATTTCTAAGTGATACATTTTATCCTGATGACCGCAAGAAAACTGTAGTTCTGCCTGCTGACCCCAGAAGACAAAGCAAAGACACATATGAATGAGAGGAGTAATCTACCACTCAGCTCGATGTCCCTGGGATATGTTGCCTGGGAGACAGGTTTTTAAGACATCCCGGCGAGCTCAGCAAAGAAATGTCCAGCATCAGTGTGGTTCCAAAATCAGAGTAGGCACCTAGTGTTGGTGGTCCTCAGCATTTGGAGCTGGGGCTTTCACTTCTTGGGAAAACAATTGCTACCACATTTACTTGGGAGCAGCAATAGGCTAGGTTCTATGGTAGGCACTATATTATGTATGTGGCTTTATTTAATTTACTTTGTATTATGGCTTTTGGTTAAAAGAACCTATCCAAACCCACAGAACATGTGACTGAGCCTGGATTTTAACCACGTTTGTATGCTCTCAGAGCATCTGCATCCCCCTCGCCCCACGCCCCCCTCTGCCTCTGACGTCTGTAACCAACTCTGTGTTTTGAGTTTTGGTTTTAACTGCTTTCTAGAAACCAAAGGTTTGTGCCGTCCCTTCCTGGCTGCGAGGAAAGAGAGCGCTGTGTGTGTGCGTGTTTGCCTGGGACAGCGTGTGCTTTTCAGGTGATGAAGGCATCCCCAGCACGCTCTGCAACAACATGTGCTCTTCGTTGGCATTGTTTCCAGACACCAGAGACAATAGAGGTTAGGAGGTCACGCTGGCCGCTTTGACAACGCAGAGGGCCTGAGAGGCTCTTGCACACAATTGCTTCCCGCCCTTGACACCCTGAATGGGTGTGAGATTAGGGCGGGAAAGGAAGAGGAGGGAAGTGAAGCTGTAAACAGAGACCGCTCGCATACTCGCCTGGAAGTTTCTGCTGTTTCCCCCAGACACTTAAGGGTGATGACCTTGTCCTGAACTTTTAGAGCCGCTTGGCACACTTTAACGAGTTAATTTTTATTACGTGATACATGCATGTGATACAATTGGAAGTTCTCATACAGTATAGCCGGAGGGCCTCAGTTCGTACGGATGACGGGGACAGTGGATAGCTGCACGACACGCTGGCCCGCCTGCAGTCACCGTCCACCTCAGCACTCTGCACTCCAGGAGGCTCCTGTCCCCGGGATGATCCTATGAATACTGACATGGTCTCTTGTCCCTCCTGTGGGTGCGGAGAAAGCCTCTTCTTCAGAACGGGCAGACTGGCACCCGGTTGATCTGGAAGGCCCCCCTCTGGGCACACAGGCCCAGGCTGCACCCAGGCAGCGTGCAGTCACCCCTCCAAGTGGGCATGGTGGGGAATGAGTAGATCTTCGTCCAGACTGAATTTATCTAGAGTGTCTGATAGCGTCCGTTCTCACAAGGATCAAGGTTTTGATTCCTCTCCTCCTGTGGTGTCCTTGGGCATCCTGGTAAAGCTGGTGGTTTCCTTCCTCAACAGAGGGAAGAAGTACAGGGCACAGGGAAGATCTGGTTGCGCATCTCTTCTAGGCAGCTACACCAGGGTTCCGTATTTACAGAGCCCAGGAGAACCTGCTGCTCTTGCTCCTACTAGCACAAGGAAAAGTTCTGTTGTGTCTGTGCCTACACATAGAAGCAGATTACTTTTAAGTTGCATTCTTTCACAACCAGTAAACATACCTCAAAGAAAGATCTGGTAGGTATTAGACTAGACGTGGTGGGTAGATGGGGTGGGGGTTATACTTGTCAAGCTCCCTGATTATGTGTCCACAGGTACGAATTAAACAGTAGCTTAATCAGATGATCTTAAGACCCTTCAGAAGGCATTTTGTCCTGGGAGAGTGAAAGTGTTAGACCTTATAATTACAAAAAAAAACGTAGAGAGCATTTGTCATATTCTAGGCTAGAGGAATTGGAGCACATTTACCTAATTCTGAATGATTGGTAAGAACTGAAGAGACAAAAGAAAGGCATTTTCCATAAGAAGCAGTAGCATTAAGAATACAAGGTGTATTTTAGAGTATAGTAAGTAAAACTAGTTTCACTTGGACGGGAAGTGTCAGTATGTGAATACTGAGAAATAAACAAGACAGCCTGATAACCTCGCTGTGTACCTGGGTGCTTTCCATATGACTAGTGACACCTGTTAGTCCCTATTTTAAATCATGTTTATTTTTATTTGGCATTTTTGTGGTTAAATGCTGCGATTAAGTATATTATTTCGGAATCTTTATATTAACTCTTTAGGGAGGAAGTAAAAAGAGTGTGCATAAAGGTAACCGTATAGCAGTTTTATGCGTATACACTCTGTTTTTCTGAGTACTTGATACACTTCTTAGACACATGTATAAATAGAAAAGGGCAGAAGATATATTCAGGTGTCTTTGAGGAGTCCAGTCTCTCGCTGTCTGGAGGGAGGCCCTGGAGTAGTTTTCCATGTCTCAGAGACAATGGGTAGGGCCCTTCCTGAGTCCCCGCCAGCGACTGCTCTTAGCAGGGTGGTGAGCACCGGAAGGATGTGCATGTCACGGAGCCCCCAGGAAGGCTGTGTCGGGATCAGGTTATGTTCCCATGCCGCTGGTTCAGCTTTCCTGCTGGTAAAGCCCACTGCCCGTTCGTCTGAGAGAATCAGTGAGTTCTCTTCAGTCTGCATTTTGAAGACCAGACTCATACAAAGATCATTTGACTTTGACTTGCTTACTTGAAAAGATAATTGCATTTGATGTGGATGCAGTTGATTGGTTGATATGCTTTCCCTGCAGATCGTAACCAAGCAGATGAATGTTTACATTTGCCAATTTTGCTTTCTGGTAGTACACCATTGGCTTTGCATTCATCGAGAAAGTATGCTGAATGAGCTTGCATTGGTCTGAACTTTATTTTACCAAATGAATTTGTGAATGACCAAAAGCGGTGAAAAGATGTATGGTAGAAGTTCATGTGTAATCATCAGGTTCTTGTTTCCCTTCTTTAACTGAACTTGAGTGCCCTGAAATTAAGAAAGTAGACAGGTTTTGAACTGTGAATGCATGTGTGTGTGTGTGTGTGTGTGTGTGTGTGTGTGTGTGTGTATCAGGATCATCTCTGGCCTAACTTTTGAAACTGGAATTTTCATACTTTCATATTACTGCACAGTATCTGTCTAGACTTGCATAGTTTGGTTGGCATATTTAAGAGATACATTCGCATTAAATATCAGCAGTAGGAAGTAACTTCCTTTTCAGAATGAAATGTTTGACTGTATTGTTTATTTTCTCAATTTAATGCGGGATATGTATGTTTAGCCTTTTGTATGATTTAAATTAATTGCATCTGGTCCACGGGAGCGAGGTAAACTTACGTGTGTGTCTTCGTATATCTCTTCCGTGCTGTTTGGTAGGCAGGATACTCTGCCTTCCCCGTGTCCCTCCCCACAATGGAATAAAGGTGCATTTTCGTCCCACTGTAGATTGGCGGGTGCTGCAGCCTCACTGTGTTCTGCGTGCGAGACAACAGACTAACTCGGATCCCTGCCGAGGTGTCGCAGGCAACAGAACTTCACGTCCTAGATGTGGCAGGGAACAGGTGAGCATGGCCGTGCGAGCTGCTTTGCTTGAGAGACGAGTGCACAAGCAGCCCCCGCTTTGCTCTGCGTCTCAGGGTCTCACTGCCTCCCTCTGACAGAACAGCAGGCCGATGCTGTGCACCTCTGGTCCTGGGGGTTCTTGAGGTGGCGATAAGCGTTGAGCCTGGTGGGGTAGATGGGTCAAGGCCAGCCGGAGGTGGGTGCTGCGAAGCTGCAGCAGACGCTTCCAAGGGGCGCTTCCAGAAGTTGAGAACAGGAGAGTCTGGGAAAGTGCACTGAGAGCGGGTGTCTAGGCCTTGTCTTGGTTTCTCGAACGAGCTTCCTGTAAGCCTTACCTGCAAAATGCGCTGGAGTCAGTCTGAGCCTTTTTTCCTCAGGACAGGGTCTGGCTATGTTGTGCAGGTTGACCTTGAACTCTTGATCTCAGGTAATCCTCTGCATCAGCCTCCCTCGAGATTGGGACTGCCCGTGCATGCCACCACGCCCGCCAGCTCACTTCCACCCAGTGGTCTTGACTGACGTGCTGTGCTGGGGACTCGGCCTCCCGGAAGTTATAAATACAGCCGTGTATACAGGGGCATGTTTATGGAGCCAGGCTCTGCAGCTAATGTCATATGTTGAAATGATTCATTAAAAAAAGGTTAAGAGGGATGCCCGGCGGCATCCCTGAGGCCGTAGCAGCACCATCGCCCACATCTGGGCTCCTTCCTGGCGTCCCTCGCCTTTGTAGAAGTCAGCTTGATTTCTGCCGTTCCAGCCTTGCGTCGGCACTCCAGGTGTTAACGTGTTCTGGGGCTCTGGCTCTGTCCGTTGTCAGCCGCACCTCCCTGCTCTTGAAGGCCTCCCCTATGAGTCTGCTTGCGGGGACGGGCCCCGCCGGGGTGCTCACAGCACTGCATGGTAATGACCTGTCCGAGTGTCTGCGACCCTCGGGCACCGAGAGCTGCCTGTGGTCACGGTCCTGGTGTCCGTGTCACCGGCTCACTTGTCCCTCATAGCCCCTGGTGCCATCATATTGATGACTTCATGAAAACGTTGACGGTCTCACAGCAGAAGTGGTATGGCACTGCAGACGTCTCCTATCACAAGTTCTGTTGCCAGAAGAATGTATAAATTGCCTTTGAAAATGCCATGGTTGGGGCCTGGCGATGTAGCGCAGTGGCACAGCGCCTGCCTGGCAAGTGCGAGGTCCTGAGTTCAATTCCCGGTGCCAAAAACAAAAAAAAAAGATATGGTTAAATAGAGAAAGTGCCCGCCCAGGGAACACTGGTCTTTGGCTTGCCATGGTAACGGTCAGCGGTGTGGAGGGTATCTGGGGCACTGTCCCCTGCGTGTTGATGAGCTGGTCACTGAGGTCAGGCGCAAGCCCGCATTCTTCATCCAGCTAATGGACTGTGGACAGCAGGCCTAAATAAACTAGAGTCTGGAGTGCGTCATGGGCCCGGAGTGCTTGCCATCGAGACAGATCCTGCGGGCCGGTCAGTGCTGGCTGACGACTGGAGGTGGGTGTGGGCAGAACGCAGTTTCCGCCGCAGTGACCCTCGTGTGAGCTGTGAGAGCGGGCGCGAGCGGCTCAGGGGCTGCGCACGCCCGGTAGCATGAGCGTGTGTCCTCAGCTCCCGAGCAGAAAGACGGCTTGGGTGTCAGAACTGCTGTTCACGTGAGTGGAGGCCTCATTCTGCTGTTCTCAGAAGACTGGGAATTTTAATTTTTACTGTGCTTCAGCCAGGGTGGGACAATCCAATTAAAAAGTTGAATCACATCGCTGTCATCTGAGTCAATTAAGTCTTCCAGTTAATCCGTGCATAGGGATGCATAACCAAATTTTAAGGTTATTAAAATATTTAATCACTACTTGTTTAAAAGTATCAGTATTGAAACTAATAAAAAAAAAACATTACCGCGTCCACCTCCCGGCCTTCAGAAGTGCGGCTGCATGGGAACCTGTGCTGAATAAGCCAGGCGTTTCCGCCTCCTTTGCAGCATGTGGCTGCAGGGGAAGTCCACGTGAGATCGCAGAAGCTTGCTTTTGCAGGCCAGAGAGCAGAGAATAGCAGGAAGGACTGCACAGCACCAGTTGGAAACTAAATATCAAGCCCACCCTCACAGCAAGGAAGGGGAGTCTTGCACCCTCAGCTCCCATGGGCACGGAACCCAGAACTCCTCTTAAACTCTACGCAGGACTGCCCACTGCAGACGCAGCGCAGGATGTGAGGGGTCTCCTTTGCAGTGGTGACAGTGCCAGATGGCTGTCAGCGGGGAAGTGTGTGCCTTTGAATTCTGTGAGTTCCGTGAGCTCCTGAGCTGAAAATGAAAGGACAGCATGGCAGTGCGGCCACAGGGTGGGACTCTTAGAAAGTGAGTGCTTGCCCTGGAAGTGACACGAAGGAGGGCTGGAATGCCGAGTAAAAAGTGTTAGTGTATCCCCAGCAACTCAGCAAGACCCTGCCTCCAAATAAAAAAGAAGGGCTGGGGATGGAGCTCAGGGCAAAGGCCCTGCCTGGTTCAAGCCCCAGTATCACGGAGGACGGAAAAGAAAAAGAAAAAAGCAAGTATTGCATGGTATAGGAAACTCAGTTTTGTGTTCTAACTAAGAAAACCTCATCTGTGACGGACACTGAAACGTTGTTAGCTGTCCTAAAGGAGGGGTCAGGACTTGAAGGTCTGGGGGCAGATTTTGGTATTGTTAGGTTTTTTCGATGATTATATTCTCAATTTCTGTATACTTTTAAAATACAGTTTAAAAGCAAAACGTTGTACTAGGGAGCAACAGACACATTACGTTGTAAAAAGTATTCATCCTTCATATCACATGACTAAGCAGGCCGTGTTCAGCAGTTGGATAAAGTAGGCACTGGAGCAGCTCTGAGCGTGTGCGGGGTCACTTGGGGATGTGTGGAGTGTAGACATGCTGGAAACAAGGTCCTCACAGTTCGGTTATTCATTTGCTTTCGTCCTGGTACCATCGGTGTAAATAGTAACCCCGGGCTTCTTACTCCTGGTGGACGTGGTCCTAAATAGAGCATAGAGGCGTGTGCACACAGGGCTGTGGTTCTCGTATTGGTTCTGTTTACTCTGTAGTGCTCAGAAGGGACCAGAATAACACAAAAATGTATTATTAACGCCTCTGGAAAACAGCAAAGTACTCTTTGGCCTACTTTCTGATCTGCAGCTGGGGCGGTTCGCCTGGGAGAAACAGGAGTGTGTGTGTCCCCCGGGCCGAGTGAGTCACTGAGTGGTTTGGCCCGGCCGCCGCGTCTGTGAGTGGCACAGCAGGGCCCTTTCTCTCCTGGGTGCCACCTCTGGTCCACTGCTGTCCACAGGACAGTGGGGGACGAGTTCGTGTGTGGCGTGCACTTGGCCAGCAGTGTCCACGTTGAAGCAGCACTTTATTTGTGAGAAAACCAGTGTTTCAGACAACTCATTAATCTGAATTGAAATGTAATAACAAGGAGCTGTTTGTACAGCATCTAGTAGTGTGGTTTAGCTTTTGTCCTCTGGTTTGTCATCCTTGAAAGCTACTAGCGGTGGTCTTCTTAGCCCTCTGCTTCCTCGCTTGCATACGTGTGCAGCTGGGAAGCAGCGAGCAGTCAAGGCCTGGAGGCACAGCCCCCAGCCTAACGCTGGAGTGTTTGTATTTTGTGCCGTTTCCACGTCTTGGTTTCTTTCTCACGGTGTCGTGGTGCAGAAAGGTGCAGTGCTGACCCTACATTTCCTGCTAACCTTGACCCTACACTTGAACTTTGAAACATTCTGGAGGATAAGAACTTGACTTCTACTCTTAAAAACATTTCAGAAGAAACTATCCTTTTGTTCCATAAAAAAATTTGATGTACTGCAAGATCTCACAGTGTCTGATGGGTATCCTTTTGTCACAGTGACTAGCAAATAGGTATCTTTAACCTTGTTGTGTTTGGGTGTAAGTGTGATAGCCTTTGGGTAGCAGAAGGATAGTTCTGTGTAAGCACTAGAGATTTCTCTTCCATTTGCGGCACACATACCTCTGAACAAGGGGAGTTGGAGCTGAGGGGGATCCACTTGCCCTGCGACTCTCTTGGACGGCCTCATCCCACGAGCATCCCCTTTGGCACTGGGCAGATTTCTCCCCGTGGCCCGTGCTGGTGAAGTCCTGCGTGTGCAGTACCTAGCCTGTCCGGAGGCATGAAGACAAATGCAGCGCTCCCAGGTGCGCTGCCTCCTGCATCGCTGCCATGACAGGTACTGAGTGTAGCCCTTGGTTCAGACGAGGGGTGGCCCAGCCTCTCCTGTACCGAGCGTCACGGGGCAGTTCCCTTATCCCTACACCTGCCACCTCAGAGACGCTCCCAGAACAGTGCTGTGGTGCCGTGCTGAGTTCCTCCGCGGACGCTCTCTGCACTCTGATTTTCCAGCTTCATTCATTGTAGTAATAACCAATTTATGCTTGTGTTTTACCAAGACGAGTTTTGATACTGAAATGCAGCCTCTTTTCATATCGCTACATAGAGATCTAACGTTTTCCCCACAAGTTCTGTTAACTTAAAGTTCTGACAGTACACTGTTGATTCATTGGTGTGACGGAGGTAGACTTCTCACGCACTAATGGGGATAGGTATGTGTCTGTCTTATAAAGTCACTCCCATGGCTGATCTATACTTTAGTGATGAGGAGGCATCCGTGGAGTGAAAACACTTGGTGAAATGTAACCTTCAGTTCCTAAAGCCCTGAGCTCTTGATGTTCGTACAGCTTTTGGCTGTTTACAGAGCGAAGGTGATTGGTGTGAAGCGTGATTTTAACCAGAGCAGCGTTCTCCCTGTGCACTGCGGCGCTCCTGAGGGCCGTCCTGCACGCCTGTGGTAGGCTCTGATGGTGTTCCTGGCCTTTACTCGCCCGATGCCGACAGACTCCTCCCCAGCCAGTGTGACAGCCCAGACTGTGTGCGGATGTTCCCCAGTGGCCCCCAGGGCAGAGTCTTCCCAGGCTGAGAACCATTGCGTTACAGCATTGTTTTGCAAGTAAGGCTGACATGTTCAAGCACAAGTATAAAACTAATCTTTAGGTGCCGCATTATAAATTTCACAGTGCTACCTCATTTGAAATGGCAACAACCTGATGTAGATATTAACTATCCCCAAGGAGCTGAGAGGTGGGAGCGCCTAGAAACTGGTAGATAAAAGTTTAAAACGGCAGAGCGTGGTGGCGCACGCCTGTAATCCCAGCACTCGGGAGGCTGAGGCAGGAGGATTGTTGTGAATTTGAGACCAGCCTAGGCTACGAAGTGAGCTCAATTTCCCGCACTCGGAGCCCGATCTTGGGAAACTCCTGGGAATGTCTTCCCGTTTCTGACTGACAGGAAGTAGTTTGCTGAGGGGGTCTGAGGTTGTGATGTCTCTGTTGGTCTCACATCAGGCTGTTGCATCTGCCGTTTTCACTGACCACCTTGAAGCTGAAGGCGCTGTGGTTGTCTGACAACCAGTCCCAGCCTCTGCTCACCTTTCAGACGGACACAGACTGTGCCACGGGGGAGAAGATCTTAACCTGTGTCTTGCTGCCTCAGCTGCCTTCTGAACCTTCCTGTCAAGGTGAGTTTCGGGGCAGTGTTCCCTGGGCACGAGAGTGAGTGGTAGCCGACGTCCACCCATTGGGCCCCCCGCTCCTGTGTGATTGTGTTTTGTTGGGTCTGCAGGCTCCTTCAGGAAAGCTCTCTATGCTCTTGCAGGAAGAGGGCTGCTCACGCCACTTTAAGATTTGGGGAGCAGCCTTTTAGATTCGAATGTTAGTTAATACTCCTAAGAAGAGTGATAGTCTCTTAGAACCTGAGCTGATAGTTCAGAGGGTTAGCAGTCAGCATCACTGGGTGTTTGCTCTGTAAATTGTGTGGCTTTAAGCAAATATCCACACTAATATCAAGATGCCGTTAGAAACCCTTTGTTGAGCGCTGGGTCCAGTGGAACTGAATCCCCTTGGGGAGTGAGAGCTCCCAAGCCACAGAGCTTGGAGCCACCTTGCCAGTCCCAGCCGCTGGCGGGCTTTTCAAGACTGCGGGAGAAGACATTGTGGTGAGCGTCCTTAGGGAAGGATACAGCAGCCTGCATGTGTGGTCACATCACTGCAGGGAAGGTCACATCACTGAAGTTCTTGTGTAAAGGAGAGCTGTGCAAAAGGACTCTTGCAGTTGTCCACACTCTGTAGTGAAACGAGAAGTGCATCAGTACAGTAGGTATTTTGTGTGACCTCAGGCAGAACTATGCCGTAAAGGGAAGGGGAACCCCGCCCGGACCCGCTGTCATGGTTAATGGAAGCCAGAGACTCAGGAGTTGCAGCTGTCTGCCCTCCTCACTTCTGGTGTTGCACCTCTGGCTGGCCACGTGGCGCCCGCGCAGTGGGCCGGAAATCACAGCCCGCGCTTGGCGCCTCGGCAGCCAGCATGCCCTGCTCATGCGGCCTTGTCCCTGCAGAGAGCCTGCCTCGCTGTGGCGCTCTGGAGAGCCTGGCGCAGGACGTCTCCGACGACGCCTGGAGTGTGCCTGTCGTGCACAGAGTCAGCGCCATCCGCTTCGCAGATGACGAGAAGGAGGAAGACGACGACGACGACGGAACGGTAGGGAGGCGGGGCTTCTCCCCTTGTGTGGAAGTTCACGTGACACCCTCCCAAGGTCGAGGGTGCCGCTCAGGGAGCTCTTCTTGGTGTTATCTCGTAGTATGTCCTGTCTTGCCTCTAGCATTAGAAATGTCTTAAGAGAACAAAACTAGGAACAAAGCTAGGTACTTTGTGGACCAAGTCACAAAACGTAAACAAGGCGAATCGAACTTGTGTCGTTATTTTCATAGTTTGTGGAGCTTTTTCTCCGCTGCGGTAGTTTCCACACCTGCCCCCATCTGTTTGCTTACAACTGCGGCTTTCCTTTCTTCTGTAAATGAGGTCCCCTCCTATCCCCTGCCCCGCGTAGGGCTGTGCCGTGTTGGCCGCATTCCCGTCACGACCTCACAGCCAGACGCCCCACCTAACCAGACTGCTTTGACCTTCACGTCGCGTGCTTGTGCGCCCAGTTGGAACCTTAACAGTTTCATCCAGAAATTGGGAGTTGCTTGGGAGCTGACTGGAAGTACTGTCCCTCCTCACCCTTCTTTCAGTCATGCGTAACAGCGTCTCCCCTCCTGGAGTCAGTGACAGCTCTTGGCATCTTCCTGCCTGTTGACTTTGGCTTTTGAAATTCCTTGCAGCAAGCGGTTTTCCTAAGCAGTGCTGAGAGTGCTCAGAGGACTGGCCAGACCCGGACGAGGGACGGATTTTCAGGGACTGCAGACAGTCCTGTTGTTTCAGCTGTCAGCAGACGGGACTTGAGCCTTTACGGCAGCAGAGTGCGCGTGGGCATCAGGGTTCGCACCGTGACCTAACCTCAGGGTCGCCTCAGTGCCCGCCCGCGGTGACACTTGCGGAGAGTAATTGTCTCCCCTTGTTTCTCGGCCTGGATAATGCTTACCCAGTGTTCTGTCCGCCGGGTGAGCTTCCTCCTGAAATTCCAGCGTGGATTTCTTCGGAGGTATAAATTCTGTGTTGTGACTTGCTAAACGACGTGTGACACGCTGAACGATACAGAATTTTAAGTCTTGTCCACGCCTTGTCACTTCAGCCCTGGACCATTGAAAGAATATGAACTTCCTGCAGCGGGTCCTAGACTGGCACACCCAGCACCAGAAGCGGACCTGAAATCCCTGTCCCACTTCCCTGTCTTTTCACCTCCCGGGCCTCAAGGATTAGAGGAAACCAAGACCACTTTAGATCAGGAGATTATAATGACTGTATTTAGGACTATTTATTATTTATTCATTTATCTTTTTCTTCTTTTACATCCAATAATTACATCTTAATGTTTAGGGTTTTTCTTTATAGAAACTTACTTTTATTTTACACTAACCTCATAGTTCAAAAAGTGTTCTTTTGCTTCTACTGTGGTTAGGAAAGTTACACGAAGCACTCTTACCTGCCATTAACCCCCTGTGATCTGTGGAAAAATGCACGCACCTCTGAAGAAGGCATTTACACCCGCATTAACTTGCAGTTGCTAAGACTGTGAGATTTGTTTGGAATGCTAACTCCTTGAAGCTGTGTATTTCGAAAAAATAGTGGAATGAAAGCAAAATACTTACTGTATTCTTCGTTTTTTTAGAGAACACTCCTAAGGCGAGCCACTCCACACCCAGGGGAGCTGAAGAACATGAAAAAGACAGTGGAGAATTTACGGAATGATATGAATGCTGCTAAAGGACTGGATTCAAACAAGAACGAGGTCAATCACGCCCTTGACCGAGTGACCACTTCTGTGTAGACTGTCACCGCGGGTTTTACCTCCTGTGTCTTCCCTGCTGTCCAGACATTCCTGTCTGCTTCCCGGGAGCCGCAGCCCTCTCCTCACCAGCGCCAGAGTCCCTGCTGTCTGGGTTGGCGCCACGCTCCTGCCCAGGAAGTGCCTTACTTGTCCCTCATCCGGTCACCTGCCCAAGTGGTCTCCTGGCCTGTTCTGTTTTTGTTTTTGTTTTTTTTAAAATTTCAGTTGTAATAAGTAGAATACACTACTGTAAACACCTGACCTTTGTTTTTGTCTTGTGTTGGGGTGAGAGAGAGCAGGAAGGGGGTTTTTAAGCTCTTCCTTCCATACAGTACTGGGACATTTTGAACCCAAGTTCTCTTGAACCTACTGACGAGAGGCAGTTTTGTGTACAGGGAAAAATTGATACTTTTTTAACCTTTTTTGGCAGCTCAGATGGTGTAAATTTTAAAATTTTGCAGAGGTATTTCATAACAAAAATATGTATTTCTTTTTTGTTATTTTACCGGTACATGTTTTAGGGTTTGTGCAGGAGAACAGACCAGTCCTAAAGTGTTCGCTTCGGGCGTGCCGTGCGCTTGTGCCTTGCTGTGCCGGCGCCACGTCAGCAGCCGTGAGCAGCGGCGCCACTGAGCAGGGAGGTGGGAGGCGGGCGTGGCACTTTCCACGCGGTGTTGGATTTTAATCAGCAGTCTGCTTGGTGGGTTTATTTTTAACCAAAAAGATGAATTACCAATGATATGTAAATTATATTGGTTGATTTTTTTTTTTGAATGATGAACCAAAGGATTGGACTGCGAATAATTTCTTACACTTTATCTTTTCATGAATAATTTTTTTTAACGAGTGCAGTGTCAGATCATGTCTCCTCCAAAGGTGTGTGCCATTTGTACGATAAAATAGAACAGAAAAGCACAAAAAGAGAAACCTGGTTCAGAAACTCAGTGGATCGATTATGTACTGCAAAACAGCGATACTTACTGAAGACAGCTTTAAAACTTTTATATGCAGATGTAAGACCACAATACAGTGAAATAACGTACACTACCGTAATAGATTTGTTGCTATCTTTGTAAGTGCAATTGAATTTGTAAATAGAGTTTGAATCAAAATATAACAAAATACTGCTTGAAGAGTTAATTTTAAGTCTGCTAATTTAAGGGTTACGAGGGTATGTCTCCGTGTGTCTCTGCTGATTCCTGTGTGCCGCGATGAATGAGCGATGGAAAATGCCAGTCACTCTGTGGTTTCTGTCTTTTTTTTTTTAAAGGAGGGGGTTTTCTCCACTAAATAAACTTAGTGTGGACACTGACCATGAGGCTTTTTAATATCATTACTTTGTGTGTTCAGATGGTAGCAGACACCCTGGTTCTGTCTACGTGCTCGCCTCCGTGAAGTACCGGCTGGCTCGGTTCCGAGCAGGTCCGGCACCGCGGTGTGCACCGTGCTTCTCCCAGCCCGGACCCAGATGCGTCCACGCGGCCCGCAGCCTGGGTCTCGCGGCCTGGCCCACTGGACCTCTTTGCGACCCATTTCCAACCAACCTCGTACAGTACCTGCTGTTACTTCTGTGCATTTGCCGCTGATTCACTCACCATTTTAGGTTGGGTGTGTGCATGTATTTGTGTATTTTAAAAACTTCTTTGTTGAGTAAATGTACCCAGCACTTGAGTGGTTTTGGTTAGTCCGTTTCATGCCTTGCTGTCTAATCCATGGATAAAGATTTTCTTATCTCCTTTCCAAGATTTTGGCTCAGAGGCTGATTATAGATAAGCAGATAGGTCCTGTTTAAGAAGAGTTGTCTTAGCCAGGCATGGTGACTCATGCCTGTAATCCCAGCACTCAGGAGGCTGAGGCAGGAGGATTGTTGCAAGGTTGAGACCAGCCTGGGCTACAAAGTGAGCTCATGGCCGTCCTGAACTGCATAGCGAGACCCTGTTTCAAAAAAGACCAAAAAAAAGAGAAGAGTTATCTTGACACGAAAGGACAAACAAAACTGTACAGTGATTTTTGCCCTTTTTTTCATCTATAACCCACTGTTTATCACTGTTTTTCATGGCTATAGTGAATGAGATAAAGGTATACAGAGTGGTGTATGCCCTGAAATTCCTCTAGGAAATATTTTGTACCTAATCCTTTGGCCTGCTTTCTTTATTTCCTTTTCACTTGGTGTATTTTTCGTTTGGGAGATTTTATTTGTTTAATCTTACTCTTTTATGTTGGATGACCCTATAACGCTTTTTAATTTCTGGAAGGTGGAACCAAATGTAAGCTTCACAATGGAAGGAACACCAATAAAACAGTCCCAATTTGAGAATGCCCCAGGACTTTTTGAAGAAGGGAAACTTAATTACATGAAAACACACCTTTTCCTTGTGAAGCTAGTGTCAAGTTCCCAGACTTTTTCTAGCCAGTGTTAGGACCTCTGGCCCACACCCTCCCTTTAGGGAGGGAGGGGGACAGTGTCCAGCGGGCCTGTTTGTCCTGAGGAGGGCCAGGAAAAGCAGGAAAGTGGGTCAAGAGGACCTGTTCACCCACTTTTTTTCACAGCCCTTTATTTTCTGTTTTTAGTAGAGAAACCGTACCTGAGAGGATAAAACCCTGACAAAAGGTTGGCAGAGGTGAAAGGAAGTCGTTGATGGTAGAAAGAGGGGCCAATAAGAAACTGCAAAACATTTGCCTGGATGTTGCTTTTTTTTTCATGAAAGTTTGGAATAAATTTCTTACCACCCCTTTTATCTAAAAACTTACCTGAAAATTTCCCAGCTGGCTGCTCTAACACAGCAGCCTTCTGCCCTGGACTGTGATCTGCCCCACCCAGGCGGGGCGTAATGGGTGGGTGGAGGCTGGGAAAATTCTTTCTGTACTGGAGTGCTGTAACAGCCAGTCCTGCGAGGTAGCTCCGGGACCCTGCCCCAGGCTGCCGTCCTGTGGGGACTCAGGAAGGGGTTGTGCGCTAGAGCTGCTCAGTAGAAGGTGATAAGGATACCCAGCTTGGTGACACCTCAGAGAGTTGAAATCTCACCTTCCCCAGTTATTGTGGGCTTAGCTCATCCAGCTTTTCAAAAAGCTAATTAAATAAAACAAAACAAAACATCTTTTCATTGTAGAAAAATCAAAGCATACAGATGTAGGATCACGTAATGTACCTTCTTGTACCTATCCTCCCCTTTCAGCAGTTAGCAACACAAAATCAATACTGTACTAAACCTTTTTAAAGGGACCAAATTATGTTTTAAAACACATTTGTAAGAAGTTGCCTACACAATGGATTAAAAAAACAAAAAACCCACATGTATCCTTTAAAATAGCACTCTGGGCTAAAAAATTTTAAGTCAACAGAGATGTGAGTTGGAATCCCAGCCTTGCCATATGGATTCAGAGAAACCATTTAACCTCTCTGAGCTTCATGTCCTTCATCTGCAAAGTGGAGCAGTAATCCCTCTTGGAATTCTAAATGAATACTGAATGGAGTACGGGAAGTACGGCTCTCACTGGCCCCTGTTACAGGTCTGGTTGGGGCTGCTATCAGTCTACTCATGGTATCAGCAGTGATGGGTTTCTTGCCTCACTGTAATTCCTACCAAGTTGCTATAGCGTCCGGCCAATATGGCACTGGAGGTCATGTGCTATGGTGCCGAGCCAGTATTGTGCCAAACCAGTATGGCGCTGGCCACTAGAGGTCATGTGCTAAGGCCCACCCTTCTTCCTCTGAGTCAAATTATGACTTCCTACTTCCCTTTTTGTAATATCCTGTTTCCTTCTCCCACACTCCTGCCCAGTCCTGGTCTGCCATGTCAGGTGGTCTGCCTCCTAAACCCCGCCTCCAGCCTGGGCCTATTTAACCTTTGACCCCACAACAGGCCCTCAGAAGTTCCATGTCTCTGTCTTTCCTTGTGGTCTTCTCCATGCCCACAATAAAGGCGTTTTATTCTGCTTTACTTCTCTCTGTGCTGGAAAAACCTATCAAACAGTGCTGCCAGTCCTTAGCACACAGTGTGCCCGGGGTGAGGACACACACTGCTTGATAGTTTTTTCAATTGTAATTTCATGTATAGACCCCTGAGTTACATAATGGATGAAAATAATTATAATTTGTCCAGTGCTTACTTAATGGTATGTTTAACAGTAGTTGCCCTGAAACCTTATTTCAACTGGACTTAATAACTAGCTGTCCTAAAGATAAAACTAGCTTGTGCCGAGAAGCCACTGGACACCTACTTGAGAAGAAGGGGCTTCTTTTCCACAGCGCCCCCTCTCCATCCCTCGGTTTCCCAGGTTTGGGTCTGTGGTGCTGATATCAGCCTTTATTTCAGCCTGGATTTTCATAACTTTCTCCTTTGACACCTCTTGCAGCTCTTCTGGGTTGGAGGGACAAGCAGCTTTAAGATGTGGGTTATCCGTGGAGGAGATTCTGCTGGAAAAATAAGTGCAGCTTGGCTCTGGGAGTGCGGAGCACGCGCCCGTCTCTGTGGGGCATTTTGTCCAAAGGCAGGCAGCTGGTAGGAAAGGGAAGCTGACCGGAAGAACCTGATCTGAGCACTTTGGCTCGGCACACTGCGTGGGGGGCTGGAGCTGCGTTTCCATGCCTGCCGGCTGGTCAGGGCTCTACACCTTCACACTGTGAGAGTGGGCAGTTACCGTGGAGGTGTGGGCTTGAGCCAGGGCTCTGGAATTCGGACTGGGCAAGCAGGCTGATTCTCCAAGTTTTTTTGGCAGTATTAACATTTAATTTCTAAACAAATAATCAGCTGCCACTGATTATGTAAGACTGTAGCTCCTGGTATACGAATGCCACTTACTGAGCACTTATTAGGCGCCCCGCACCGAGCAAACTAACCCAGTCCAACTTTCCAGAACAATCCCATGGAGTAGGTAGTGGTGCCATTTTAAATTGGCAAAGGAGAAAATTAAGATTTATGTAAATTTCATAGTTTTCCCGAGACCAAGTAATGAATGACAACAGAATTCAAATTCACATGTCCGCTGGCCAGCATCTGTGGTCCCAATGACTCGGCTTTGCTTCCCCCACCCCCTCGCCACAATCCCGTGTGCGCGTAGTTACATTTAGAGCTGTGCTGATGATGGTTCTGTTTTCCTCCGTCAAGGTGGTTTAGGTCTGAGTGGACGGAGGCTGGCGTGGAGCTGGGTGGCCTTCTCTTATGCCTCGCTGTGCTGCAGGTGCTGGCCTCTCCCGCTCTGCCGTCCACCAGCTCCTGCACACTGTCCAAGCTGAGAACCTGCTCCTGCCCCTGGGCTTTTGGTAAGAAATTGGGGAGATGCGTGGCTGCCCTCAAAAGCTGGTAAGTTTTCAGTACTAACTGGATGGCAGCGTGGTGTCCAGCTCTCTGAGAGAGCTTTAACATGTTCCAAAAATTGGCACTTAGCTCTAGAATGAGCTAATTAGTCCGGAAGGTTTTGTTTGTTTGTTTTGTCCTTGCTACCTTTAATGCCTGCCCTTGGAGAAAAGGCAGACAGCAAACACTTGGAAACCTATGACACTCCAGACTGACCTCCATGCTCTTTGTGGGCATAAAAAAACTGTTTGGTAATTAATTATTCAAAATCTTTCTTTATAGGACGCATTGTTGTCAAAGATTTGACAAATACTGGTTGCCCTTCTTTAGGAACTGTCTAATTGCAGAAGCAGAGAGCAGGAGGAATATAGGAAACCTGTGGACTGTGGTGGAGGAGAGAGAAGCCCTGAACAGGTTCCACACGCGGGGTGTCAGCTTGTCCCGGGCGCAGCTCTGCAGCCCTACCCCGTGCACAGACAGTCTCCGATGCTCTCTCAGGGTAAGTCAGAAGGGTGCTTCCGTGCCTTAGGAGAGCAGTTCGTAGGACACTGCCCAAGCAAGCACTCCCCAGGACAGCACTTCCCCAGGCCTGCTGGAAATAGTCACAGACTGGGCCTCTGGGGGACCTTGGTTCCTGGCTGTACCCCAAGTGTCCATGGCCGTGTGCCCATACCTAGTCCCCGCTGCCTGCCCTCCCGCAGCTGGAGGTGCGGGTGCTTGTTTATGTAAGCCTCGCTGATCGCGGGCTTCAAAAAACAAAACAACAGCGTACTTGTACTTGTCCAGGCAGTGTGTGTCTTCCTGAATTCTCGTCCTGCCCTTTGGCCCTGGGGCGCAGTGGGTGGGGTGAGTTTCGGTGTGAGTTTGGCAAGTTTCGGAGCAGACTGTGGGCTGGGTCTCTGTGGTTTTCAGCATTTCAGAACGTGGAAGGATGTGGAAGGATGCCGTAGATGGCCTGGGAGCTGTCACGCTCCTGCTCTGCTGTCCTGGTCACGGGTGACGGCGGAGATACCTGT